ATGTGGCAAGCCATGGATGGGTAAAAAAGCTTCTTCTGATCTATATACAAAATGAGGCCAATCCCAAACAGATATCATCTTGCACAATCACTCATAACACATTTGGTTACACTACTGTAATATACTTGTTATGCCAAAGACCTGACTGGTAGCATAAAAAGTGTAAAGCTCAGTTGTAATTTTAGACTGTGTGAGCATATACAAGTAGGTCACACTACCATCACTACAGGCACGTGTGAAAAGATTCTTAGTTTTTTCCCTGTTCTTTTAACAAATTCTCAACTTTTTAAAAACTTAAAACTTAATAAATAAATAAATCAGCTTCTATTTAAAATTCAATAGACATACGTTGAGTGCATTTTAGGGTTACTCAGGCATTGTTATTAATATTCTCTTTTTTTTTCCCTGTCGCTTCATATTTTTTCTGAAAAAATCCGAGAAGAAACAAATTAAATTGGTGTGGCCTAAGGTTTCCATATAAATTTTTCACATATACCATAAAATAGTATCTATTCACATAAAAATACCAAATTATGCCATACTAAATTTCTGACAAGATTTCTTTTTATTGGAGACCTGCTAGCTACAAAAATGTATAGGCAATGAAAGCCTTCTAGTCCTACAATTAAATTGCAGCTTTAGAATTCTTTCTCAATTCAAGTTTTTGATATCGTGCGGCCCCAATTTGCAGCACAAACTCCGGTGCTCTCCAGTAATTGATGTTTCCAGTTTGAATGGCCCAGAAATGGTCACTCTTCATCCCCCTCTCCATCTTCTTCATCTTCTTCCTCTTCACTGGATGTGACATCAGGGTCTTCTGCCTCCACGATGCACTTCTCACATCTGCAGGAAAAGAGATAATTCTCCCTGAAAATGAGAAAACATTATCAGTCAACCCGTGTTGGAAAGTAAAATAAGGTAAGTGCATTATTCTCAACTGTGCTTTGCCATTGATGGTTATCAGTCTAATTTTCCGAGAGTCGTTGAGAAATTATGCAACCATACTGTCCACAAATGTAGATCAAAGGACAATGGACCAAATCTAGGGATCCGGGAGTTATTACACGACGTACATGTACATGTAAATGTGAAGAAAGTCGGACATGATGCCGGAATAACTACATGTACATTGTACACTGGGACAAAAAAACAAAACAATAACAGAATCTGATGTACATGTATGAGCCTTTGTGGCCCTTGCAAGAGTGCAATTACATGTATATCCTAATCATTACCGTTTCTCCTGAGTAATTTTTATAAGTTGTCATACCTGGGTCATTTAAAATCTAACAGACTTGTAACCTTAACAAATAAATGCCGTCTTGGGCAAACTCAGGCGATCACTCATTTTAAAGCACGTCCGCACATTCCTTCCAACATCTACTCTGTTAACTTTGTACAAAACTATATTTTTGACACATATTATATACGCCTGCACTGTCTGGGACACTGCGCCCGAACATGAGTTGGGGAAATTGCAAAGGATGCAGAACCGAGCTGGCAAGCTGATTCTACGAGCCCCGTATCTAACTCCATCAGCCGAAGTCCGCCGACGTCTGGGCTGGATGGACGTAAAGTCAATCCACAATCCCACAAAGCCCTCCTACTACATAAGGCCCTGAACAACCAACTACAACCGTACATGCGCCGGATTTTCACATACTGTAGGGATAGAGCGACCAGAAGCACCAGACAAAGCGCGACTGATCTCCCTGCGATACCGATGCCATTAAGAGAAATATACCGGAGATCCCTAGCCTACTCTGGCTCGCTTGTTTGGAACGCACTTCCTCAGCATGTTAGAGCAGCACCTACTCTTAGAACCTTTAAAAGACTGCTAGTATCGTAACTGACTTTGACTGAACGACTTTGGACACAATGACTTATGAGTTATTTATTAGTTATTGCCATTTTGTTTATTTATTTACTTTGTGTGAGTTACCTTGTGTATATAAATTATTACAATGTACTTTGTTTTCATTTATGAGCAAGTAGTATTTATGTTATGACCCCTTGACACTCCTCCACGCTCGACCTCTATGAAAAGCGGCCGAAATAGCGGCCGATTAGAGCATGTAACACAGTTACAGATCGAGTTGAAATAAAGGCTCAAACAAACAAACAAACAAACACATTTAAAATCTCTTGTTAAAGTTTCCATAATGTATATGACATTGTTTGCAATGTTTGTATAGCTAGCTAAAATGCATGGCATACATTTGATTTTTACATGAAACCTTAGCACAACTCAAAACATTTATCATAAAACATCAGTGATATTGAAACATTTGCATTATCAAAACATTGGCATGCAGCAATTTAAGTTAGACAGGGGTTGACCATCTACTGCAAATCCTGTCAAAGGGTTCATGACACAGAAGCTCTCAAAGATGAGCTGCTTTTGGTGTCAAAGTGGAAATGTGAAACACCTTAATGTAGCTTAAGTGTTAAGTGCACTTTCCAAGTCCTTATCGCCCAGAGCCCAAGGTCTAAAAACATTTTGACTGAAGGGGCACAGTTACATAGCTTTATTCACAGCCCATTGGTACAAGACATGCCAACTGACGTATCTGTAACTTTGAGTGAAGAAAAAATTGACTCATTGGTCATTCAGTGGCAGGAGAGAAGGCATCAGTCAGTGATGTCCACTACGAATTAGGTCACCCCCTACTTTTAACTATATAATAAGTGTTGGGTTCTTTAACGTGCAATGGTCATAACTCATAACAGATGAGACTCCACAATAGACAATGTTGAGTGATTCATTTCCTTTGGCCTTTGGCATTTGTATTTTATAGCAAGACATGAGACTCACCTCAACAACTTTTGTCTACTGTGCCTACTCCTTGTCCTCTCACACTCATCCAAATAACAGATGAATAATTCCTGTAGAATAAAAATCAACATTCAACAAGCTGCTCTACCCTACAGGGTTTTGATACTGTGATCTGGGAAGAATCGAAGATGAGAAACATTTTGTAACAGAATGTAAACTATACCACAAAGAGAGAGCAGATCTTTATAATCTGATACAATCTATGTTTCCCTTCTTTATACATCTAAGCTGTACACTAGATAAATTCATATTTCTAATGAGCTTAGACAAACCTTCTGTATTGAAACATATCTGTTCTTACATCTTTGCCATTACTAAGAAACGAGAAGAAACCAAATTCACTTGATTGTAGCTACTTGACGATATATATATGTAACGTTATGTATATTCCATCCTTTTTTGTGACCTGTACTTAACCCAGTGGGTATGTGTGTACAATAAAGGTCTTCATTCATTCATTTGATGTGTTGACAACCAGCAGAAGAGTGTTTTTAGAAGTGTGAACTTCAAGGCTGTAGTCATGTTTAAAACATCAAACACAACATTATTCCTAGACAACTCTCATACATTTCTTCAGGGAGGTGAACAAACTAACAAGTTACTTCATTCAGATTGGCAATGTGCATAATGTATTATTAATATCATCACATACATAATACACCAACGCCTGGATCCTATTTTTGCCTTAATGATCACCACACAATTGGTAATTAGAGCAAATTCTAAAATGGTTTGTGTTGTCAACAAGTTAGGCCACACCAATTTAATTTGTTGGTTCTCAGATTCGCCTCTTCAGTTTTTTATGATTTGCGCAAAAAAAAATTCTGAATCAACTCAAAAATGCTCATATTTTACCCCCAACAGTTGAGGAAAGTCATTTTCTCCTAGTTGTTACATTTTTGCATTTTTTCCATCTATCAATGCAATGGTTTTATTAAAAGTCAATTTCATTGTTTAAATATCAACCCAGCCTTTTGTGTTGACTCCATGGCTCCTATCGTTGCATTTGGTGCTATAGTAGGATGCCTAACTCTGTTTTTATTTTTTTCGCCCTGTCACTTCTTATTTTTTAAGGAAAAATCCTAGAACCAACAAATCAAATTGGTGTGGCCTTACTGGAAATTACTAAATATCACTAGCAAGGCTGAGATCCTAAGTAATCATCACCTTTTCATGTGCCTAAAGATAAAAGATAATTATGTAATCATTAAATTGATTCTATAAAAAAAAACCACCCACAATCAGTCACATTTCACAGTTTTACCTTAGTTTACAGTGCCACAGTACGTATATGTCATGCAAGAGGAAAATTATGACAAGCACATGTAAGTACATGTGCTTTCCAGTAACTCATCCATTTATACAATAAACGGACAGATAATGTATTGGAGAAAATTAGGTTTCTACGAGGACAATATGATGCACGCGTACCACGTAACACATCGAGTGAGATGTGTTCAATTGTAAGTTTCGGCTTCCTTACTTGAAAATTTACAACACTGATTCTTAGCTTCAAGTTGTTAAATTTCGTGGCTTATGTAAGAGCATGTAGCACTTACCTCTCCCTCAGTAATATCTCGGAGGGCTCTCATACTGAGGACATAATTGCCTTCATCAAATGCTGGTTCAGCACTCGGCTCACAGCTGTGGTTACCTAGCAACACAATAAAAAGGAATGATGAACTCAACTCGATTGCCCTAAGCTGAAAATGAAAAGAAGAAACGAGATTTACATTTGAAATCAGTTATTTCAGCACTTCAAAGCTGAAAAACTTTGTGACGTGCAAATGTAATGATCCCCTACGTCTTCTTAGTAAAATCCAACAACATCAAAGGTGTCTTTATGTTAACAACGATTTGTAAAATCTTTATAAAGAGCTCCATATAGGACATAACAGAGCTCATGGTAATGTGATCAAAGAAAACTGATCAAAGAATGAGGCACTTAGATCATCAGATTCTGCATCCTTGACATAGGCATCATCCACACATCTAGCCTGTGTTATACAACCTCTTGCTGCTCTATCCCTTAGACCAGTGTTAGTCAGGTGGCAACAAGGAATCAAAACGTTTTTCCAACAACTCCAAATCTCAAGTCCAGTCCACAGTACTGCAAATTCTCTATATATGGTGGACTTTTTCTGAAACTTGTGAAAAAATAATGTAATGCTACATGTATGATTGTGTAATTCACTGTTACCTGGATACCAGGCCAGAAGTGGGGGTGGGGGCCCAGGCTATTTTCTAATGTCCAATATGCGCTCAGTTGTCAGGCATTTCCAAACATACGTAAACTTTCAGTATGTTAGGGTCACATGAGTCAGAGGTGGATTGTATTGAGTTGAGTACCAGTGTCAACATTTAAGGCAGGAAACGCCCACGCTGCAATATATTCCTATCAACCACTTTTCTAAAGAAGAACTACATTATAAGGTAAATTTGGGGTTATGCTGGTACAGACACATGTAAGAGAGTACACAGTTACAGTTTGTCACACACATCATACTCACAACAACTCTGGAGACTGTAGAGTCCAGATCCCTCACAATTCAGGAAAGTTCCTGACTCTGAAAAAATATAGCATCATTAGGATTACTTCATATGTTCATGTGTATCAAAATTATATTGATTTCCATACTACTAGCTGCAAGATTATATACTTCTAGTACATACATATGATAAATCCCCTTATCTGCAAAGATACATTGTACACATGTATACGTCATAGGACTGAGAAATATATGGGATTTTTATAATAGTTCAACTTTTAATTTGCACCCATTTTTTCTCAAATCTAATTGACACATGCACCTGCCATATCATTTTGAAAAACCCTTCATCATAGTGCATCATACAATGTTTGTGACTGGGGTTTACTGGTAACAGAGCTAGGAGATCAGAATCAGGGATAAAACTGAGTACTAGGTAAAACCACTGATACCCTCTGTACTCTATACTCTCAAATCTGTCTCTACTTTGAGTTCAGCGTAACAAGTTAGTTATACAAGGTGCCACAGCTGTTTTTAAAAGTAGTGGGATCAACACATTAATGCTAGACCAGAAACAGAAAGATGTTCATCCTACTATACACATGTAGGTCAATCCTAGCTACATGCAACAGCTCACATTTGCAACTGAGAGAGATAATCTACATTGTATGGCATATTCTGATCTGAGTTTGTATTTCAGGCAGCTACCTGACACAGGTAAACTTTGACTTTCTCTCTACTGCCTAATGCTAATGCTGTCACCAATAAAACGTTGGTGCCAAAAGGCTATCTTATCAGGGAGAAGGTTAAACAAGAGGGATCCAACTTCTTTTACAGCTGCCCCTACCTTGCTCAATGTCCACGTATAGCTGGTCGATAAATGTATCCAGTTTTTCCCTGTCCTGAGTTGGTAGCTCCAGTGCATCACAGTTGTGCACATACACACTCAGGGAACTGGAGAACAGAAAACAACACACAGTCACACTCCATTTATTTATCAACTTTAAGTTACATGTAATTGAAACATGCACTGACACTACTTCCCTGAACATTGCAGTCTCATCATATCTGTTGACAGTTCTCTTGAACTTACTGACACATTTCAATTTACATGAAAACGTAGAAAAAGTAGATTTATCAAATCTACCAAAGTTCTAAGTTAAACAAACAGTATTATATGTACATGTAATGTTACATGTACATGCATACTATGTCCAAATTGGTGGTATGAGACTAGCACATCATGTGACAAAGTCTGCCTGCATACCTCATGATCAAGTCAAATGTAGAATCTGATTAATATACAGTTCACTATATCCAACATAAGGGTAAATTGCCTGCAGGGGGCAACAATGAGATTTTGTACATATATCATACAATACCATTAACAACAATACGTTTGCCAATTTAGGGCATGTTGAATTGGACAATATATTATTTGTTTCAGCCTGATCTCTACACACCTGCAGAGAATTCAAATTAAGCTGCTTCTACATATAGCCTACATAGATGGAAGGAAATGAGTGCTACTAATCAACATACACCCTTCACCTCCATACACATATGGCTTGTTTATAATTATGGTGTTTTAAATAAGAAAGCTAAAAAATTATTCGTGCAAAACAGCTACATACATTGTATTACTGGTAAAAAAAAGTATGAGATATCTGAAAAGAAACTTCAATGTATTGATTTTGCTTGAATGTTCAGCAGTATCAGCAATGAACTAAGTAGATGCAAATGAAGTGCAAGCTTTCAAAGTTGGCTATGTTTTAAGGGCACTTCAGTTAGAAGTGGATGGCCAATGACGATGGCAAGTCATGTGTAGAGGAGCCATCCAGTAACCAAGCACTTGCGTGTAAAAGCTAATACTTCTCTGTAAGTTATCACTTACCACTCTAATATACAGTGGCTTTCAAGTCTGTATATCCAAGGACAACAGCTATGAGATAGTGTCCTCCAGAGAGATACCATAGCCTCACGGAATATGGAGGAAATTGCTTCCTACTATCTTTTTTCTGGACTCACTGATTTACAAAAAAAGGTCAGCTTGAGTTTCTTCAGTAATAAAAACGTTTCAGTGATTACCTGAGGAATATACCCCGATATGGAAATGACCCATGTATAAATGGACATATTTCCATTTCATGATGAAAACCACATAACACCAAAGTGCAACATTTTCTGTTCATACCATGTATTCAACAGGAGATGGTATAGGTCAATAAACATAAACATCGGACCCAAATATACACACTTCTCCTGCTGTCACTGATTAACGAACCATCAAAAAGTTTATTTCTTCCTCCTATAAATTTTATTATAATGATAGATAATTACTCTATTACCTATATAGAACATCACAATGAACATATCGACCGGTTCATGCATCAGAAATTTACCTACACTTCACAAAAATACACCTTTGAGAAGCAAACAGTTCTTGATCATCAGGACTACAGGTGATTGCAAGACTTAGCCATACTAGTATTTGCTTTTACAGCCTTTCAAATCAAACGTATAGGACTGGTATGTTCTTATCAAGCCATTTTGCCAGGTTTGGAATTGGTCACTTGAATATAATATGCACCATGATGTCGCATACAGTCAATCAACTCCTAACTCATTGCAAGAGAAATCTCGAGAGGGAAGAATAACTTTTTGATGGTGATAGGTGAATGAAACAAACATTTATCATCACTGGTATACCAAGAAATGGATCGTCACTGTTGACAATGCTTAATGCTGTAAGTGGTGTAAACAATTAATAAGGTACAACGCATGCGCCTTGTTCAACTTAAACAAAACATCTCTTGGCTCTTAAAATATATATAAAATTGGGAAAAAGTGACAAATTTAGGGCCCCCTCCTTTACAGTACCAGCACTATATGACATGTAGTTTTGTAATGACTGTCCTTATACATGATACATGATAGGGGACCTTGGTTTGAGCTGCATCAGCTATGGATGTAGTTTGTGACAGTCATTACCAGATATTTGTGTTCTTCCTCTAATTTGTAAGTTTGCCACTGTTTATGACACCTCTCTGCTCACTATTGTTTGCATGCTCTGAGGAGCGTGGGGCCCCGGCATTCAGTCCTCCATGTGCTTCTGCTGAAGTGCTTAAATGCTAATAGTATTTTATGACCAAAAATTATTATCTGTGATGACTGTAATCATTCATTCACTATTAATCATTTACTGCCATTTACTGACCATTTAAAGAACATTTACGGAGCAATTTTACTGTGATCATTTCCTAAAAAGTTTATGATCATTTTCTCCACATTAATTGATTTTTTACTGAAATATCACTGTGACAGTAAATTCGAGAATAATTTTTGTGAATATGTAGTAAATGTTAGACAGCAAATTTTTTCCTAAATCCTAAATGTTGTCAGTACTGCGCAGTAATATATCTCAGTGGTTGGCCAAGGGCTTTCACATGCTAAAAATGCGAAATATCATAATAAATTATACGTGTAATATATACAGATTTCCATCATATAATTACCCTGGTAACTTCTCCCTGGATATCCATTGATGGGAAAGGTTAGCTGTGTTGTCATCTTGCTATCAATTTGAAACATATTGTGGTAGCAGTATAATCAAACTACTGATGATGACAAAAGGGTACATGGCATGAAAACCATCATTACTCCCCAAGGACAGCCACACAAATGTTTCTGGTATCCTGCTGCAAACTGACATCAATAAGTCACTTACATGTACAATTTTTATATGCCAGGCCTAAATGGCACCAGATTGACCATTGAAATGCTCTGCAAGCAGAGTGACAATAATTATTGGAGAAGGCAGCATTCAATATACTTATAGCTTATATAATGGTTAACATCTTGATGAGAAATTCTGACTATGTCGGTTATTTCTGTCTCAGACTGAAATATTAGACATGGGCATTTATCCCACATAATGCAGCTTCATTATTTTTCACAGCAAAATGTCTATGTGAATAAACTGTGTACAGTACACAGAAAAGAAACTCAGGTGTTTTACAAGCAGCATAACTTTCCTATAGCCACATATTTGCTTCAAAATTACTCTGTGGCCGAACCATCTCTGTTTGCTTGATTTGATAGTGTGTAGCCTGAAATGGAGAACCCAATGGATGTAAACTGGAATGTTCTCCCTTAACACTGATCCCTAGTAGCAGTCAACAAGTGGGGTGGTGTGGATAAAGGCCACCAAATGAACAGATCTGATGGACATGAATATTAATGTGATCAATTGTAAAAGTTTTTTTTGGTATGAATACTGAGTTGGCAGTAACCTTGCCAACGGGCACAGAACAGCTACACACATTTAGCCAATTACTGAAATGATACATTACATTGAAAAAGCAGGCTAAAGCTTGTTGAGATAGCATACAATCAGTCTACTACGTATACATTACTGCTTTTTCTGAGCTGTCCCTTATGACCCCCAGCATCAATTTTTATTGAACAAGGCAATGGCACTGTGAAAATGGTATATATTCCGAAGGATAGATTTAACTATTAGTAAGTATAGGGTCACATACATGCACCTATAGGTAATTAATATATGTAAAATGTAAACATATAGGTTGAGACCTCCTACTAGGTATATATAGCAAGGAGCTTAAAAGCTAGATTTTCAGCTCCTTGCTAAGCTCCTTGCTGGTAGATACGTTTGGTTAAACCGTAACTGGTATCAGCTTCATATATAAGGATATAAATTCCTTCCCTGATGGTAACACAACACCAGAACAGTTGGTTAGTGAGCCACAAATGAATCCAGCTCTCACCTTGTCCCAATTCCTTGTCCATTCCTTCCAATCATTGCAAAAATTGACCTGAAGCCATCTGGAGTGAACCACTGTGGACACAGAAATTGCTGATTGTTAGTTTTACAAATGTATGTCCAAAGATTTTTCTTGTGAGAGTCATTAGATGAGAGAAGTAATGCATAAAATGACTGTATACATGTACATGTAACAATATAAACTTTACGGCTCTGCAGTCTGTACAAGACTAATGTACACACATCTTTCAAAATGCCATATTTCAGAATGGTACATGGGGATACAAATAAGCAACAGGTGCACATAATTCATCATACATGTATACTCATATAGAAATAGATTGTTTTCAATATACTATTGGTTTTCATTGCAATTCTATAAATATATATTATGTTGAATACTGTGCACTCTTTCTTGCATTTCAATCATTTTCATTAACATACATGTATTTGAGACATACATGTACAATCAAAAAGTGACATCATTCGTCTTCTATTAGTTCAGGACAAAATGAACAAACCCCTTCAGAACATGAGTAGATTATAAGCATGTTTTTTATTCTGGAGCAGTAATTAAAGCGATAATTGGGTCCCCCAAGGGACAGAATCATGCAAATGGCACCTGGGTCCAGTTGGTTTGAATAAGAGGCATCCCTGTGTATGTGTACATTACATACTATATTATATTATACGTACACACGTAATTAAATGTGACAAATCCATAATATTTATTTATTTATTGAAAAATGCAACAAGACATTACACTGACTCTCAAGGCAGCAAAGCTGATATTAGAGAGTCAACAAATCCATAATATACAACTTCAAAATTGGGATGAGCATACATGTAGTTCATGATTGTGTGCGTACATGCACATGTACGTTGGCATGTAACATGAAAAACATCCAGCTACAAGCTGCAGAAAACAAATTTCAACCCCAAAATTTAAGATTGTAGGTTAAAGTTACATCTTCTAAAACTGACATCAGCTAACAGAATACATGCTCAATAATATGGATCACATGATGATGAGAAAAAAATGCTCAACATCATTATAAATGAACTCCTAAAACACCAGTTTATTATATATATTACAGCAAAATTTGATATGACTTGCCATTACATGAATGTTCCAGAGATATCCAGTTATTATTGATCTTTTACATGTAGCTTTGGCATTTCACGCTTCACCTATGTATGATTTTCAACTAGGTGCTTGTGTTTGCCACTTGATGACACACACAAAGCACCAAAGTTACTATTAACATGGTCTGAAGGCCACTCAAGGTTATACAAAGGTGAAATGAACAGAATAATGAACAGCACAGTCATCTTCTATAGTCAGAAATATCAAATGCAGAGAGAGTGAGGACTAACTGACTCTTGGGAGATTTGATGGATTCATTCCCCAAAGTATACCCAATTTGAGCTGTAGCCATGTTTTTTTTTCATTTGCCCACACTGAAATGTCTTCTTAATGTATAACATGCTTGAGGTGTGGCTCTCTTAAAATATGGGATCTTCTGAATTATATATCCAAAGAACATCCCAAACCAAAAAGCTATGTACACCCACTCATTTGCACATACGTCAGATGAGAAAGTGTCTTTCCCAAACATCTGGGCTTGTCAGGGTTCAAAACATCCAGATTTTCAGTCTACCATCCTGTAACTAGCAGTGCCTATGTCACTAATTGCTGTTATCAATTGAATGACCATACACTCCCATGTGCATACATCTAAAAATCATTGTTGTGCCACAAATGTTAGACTCCAATACATGTACCTTGAAATGTGAACACTAAATGAATACATGTGCATGACTACAGTCAGGTTATTGCATCAAACAAAATATCAACATCGTTGCAGACCAATTAATTTTGGGCAGGATGAATATTCATTCTCTATTGAAGTGACACACCAGAACATACATATGCATGCTATATATACCTCAGCTGTACTACATTGTACATGCTAATCTCTAAGCAGATCATACGGTGGCAAGGCAGTATCCAGGTCAGGGGAGTGTCCAATGGACACTTCCCTGGACACTCCTCTGACCAATAGATACTGCCTTGCCACCATGATCTGCCAGTGGCTAAAGGACACTCCTCTGGCCAGTGGATACTGCCTTGCCACCCATATGATCTGCTTAGCTTGGAGAGTAGCACATGTAGCCAGAGTGGCTTCATCAAGCATGTGCTATTGCTCCCCCTTGCAGTTTTACTTGATCATGCAGGGATTATATTGAGCAACCTGGTATTAAACGATCAAAGAATATGGTCGTGCTATTTTTGAACTGGTACTGGACAATGTGTACTGGATACGGCACTGGGTACTGGATAAGGCACTGGGTATACCGGTACTGGAAAGGACCACCAGAGAGGAAATAAGTGTGGATATCAAGTTGTGATTTGATGTTTTATTTAACGATGCCCAGTGCATGATGCTCCCAGTATCCATTTTTTGTAATTCCAGAATTTTCAATTTCAACTCACCTGATCCAAATTTTCCTCATACAGTGCCTCCCCCATGAGTCCTCGGAGTAGTTCCAGCTGGTCCTAAGAATTCACCGAGAAAAAAATACAATGCAAGTGCAATAGAGGCTTTTTACTGATGACATAAACATATTTTGAATACCCAGCATTCAAATGGTTTAGTGGTATATTTTTTCTGTAATTTTTCCTAAAGTTGAATGAAGAAAGTTAGCGATAAAACAACAGCATACCTGGAATTCTGCTCCTAACAGCTTGTGTGACATGTGTTCCTCCTGGTTAGTGGTGGCCTGACAGAAACCAGCAAAGGTTCGGAGAAGGTTGTCCTTGTCGGCTGCCTTGGTGTGGTCAGAAGATGTAAAATTAGTCGTCAGTCCTTCAAATTCAACTATTGAAGTCTCAAAATGTTTACCCTCTCCAAATGATTTGAGGACATATCAATATAGCAGTACTTTGGGAGTGCATTCAAATTTTGGATTACTAGTACCCAGTATATGTAGTTATAACTGTCTCTTATGAACATGCAAAAGCACAATAATGTAGTGTTATGAAACATTACTAGATAAACTGTAAGGATTCTAACTTAAGTAAATACAATACCTGTTTGACCATGGCTATCATTCTGGCAATCATCATGATACTGGCAGTTTCCGGAGGGTAGTGTATGTTTCTGCATGGAAATAGGAACTTTTATATCTACATAATAATGTAGCCTGGAATCCTGTGAAGGCAGAGCGGAGGAATGGAGCGGAGACAGAGCATTCACAGATGGATTCCAGGCTAACAATAATGATTATCTGAAAGTAGACATACCTCATGAGCACAAGTCCTTTCACACTATCTCACTACCATAATGGCAAAATTTAACTTCTGTCACTGTCTTTTTTTCAAATTAGACACACTTAATTATATCTTTTGCATCAAAAGCCCTATACACATACTGTGTCCAAGTAAGTACATGACCATAAATCCAATAATGTATAATGTAAAAAAAAATAACACATCTCTGTTGAAGACAGGTTGTCAGTACCTCCAGGTTTCTGCTAGTTTGTTGAGAGGATGCTCAGAGTCATGAACAGAAGGTCCCAGACACAGAACCCTGTGGTACTTATTCCAGGCCTCCTGTCTACAACTTTCAGTACAGTATGCAACCTGGGGATTGAGAAACATGTTGATAAGTAACTCTGTTATCTCATTTCTCTATTAAGTAACTACTGAAAGATTGACTTTTCTGCAACCTGTGACAGTGTCACGCAGATACTGACAGATAGAGGCAGAGAGATAGCAGTACAATTGACGGATTTCTTTGACTGAATAAGAACCACTCATTCATTCAAGGCAAGTAAAAACAAAAACGTTGATATTGGTGTGAGTGTGAAGCCTGACTTGACAAGTACGATCACCTGACAGTGAGGACATGTGACGTGCTCCTCTTGTTTAATGGCACAGCATTGTGGGAAGGGCAGCACCAGACTGGGACTGTTGGCCAGTCGTCTGCTCATGGCTTCTGCTGTCTCCATGGAGCGCATGCAGTGGTCACATGCTGCAGGGTTCATACAAAGTTGACCAACAACTCACACCAAGATAAGTACATAAACAATTCAAGATTGCAACTGCACTGGTGCAGGTAACACTGAATAAGAGAATAATTGAAATCAAATCTGTTGTAGGCTCATGCAAATTACTAGTTCTATACACCCAAATTTGCCAAAAATCAATATTTTAATTTGGATGGAAACAAAATATTTGTTTACTTTTTAGATTTATAACTGTGCAAATAAAATAAATACAAATATACTTTGTACGTACCAGTGTATTTATACATTGCATTCCATAAAAACTGGCAGGATACTACAGGTTTCTCCCTGAAAATGATCTCTCCCTGCTTGAAAGATCTTGTGGCATGCAGGCACTTTCCCTGAAAGTAAATAAAAACAAATATTTTTTTTTTATTATGATTTAACTTGTTTTAATTTCAAGACCTCCTTCATCACTTCACCAGCAATATTTCTATAATTCGGACGTCCTGCAACTTCAACCCCACATTTTATATAAGTATTTCACAACTATAATTTTGTCCTGCATGCACATCTGCAATTTGAACGTTGAACCACAACTATTTGCAAATCAAGAAGCAGAAGCCACACACACATCGCCCCCCTCCCACCCCCACCAACTCAAGACTCCTACATAAAATCGAGTTGTCAATCATTCCAATCCAACATGTTCCCCATATTTGTAAGACGTAAATGAGAACCTTAACGGGATCTTGAACGATGGTTACACCGCTAATATCCATCGGCGTTCCAGACTCATGTGGTGCTTCGTGGTCCATGGGCGCAGCCATGTTGTTTTGGACTGTTCTATTCGGTCAGAGGGGGAACTCGCTTTGAAAAAATTCTTTTTAACCTCTTTGATTAAATGCAACGTTACAAATTGTAAAAAAAAAAAAAAAGCATAAAGTTGTCAATTTTTTAACGATTCTTAACAGTCCATTTTACTACTAACAAGTCAATTAAATGAATTTCATAAATAGGAACTAATCAATTCAATTTGCACGAAAGGATGGTAGCTGAGGCCTTTTGGAGGGTTCCAAAAATACTACTTATATCTAAAGTATAGACCTTCAGAGTCTTTTTTTTTTTCAGGAAATACCTTCTTGTCTTAACGCAATACAATGATTTATGAAAATTTTATGATGTAATAATGATGTCACTAAAAGTTGGGCCACACCCATTTTCCAGAAAATAGGCCTACTTGGCTATTGAGTGTTTATCAATGATTTTCACAGAAACGTGCATATAGTAAATTTCTTTGAACATGTGATAATTGCATATCTGATGTGCATGATGCCGGGTAAAATCTATATTCATAGCATCGTCCTTGAAGCTTCCATGATAGCATTATTTATAATAGGGCCATGCACAGGAGTTAACTTTCCCGTTTATGTACTAGTAGAATTGTGAACCAAACTTTTTACAATTAGACCAAGGGCATTATATATTCTCCAGTATAATAAGCACCATATCGATATTTGAATTTTAAAATGCTACCAGTATCAAATGAAACAGGACCAAAATGGCAAGGGCCACAAAGCAAGTTGAGAACTATTTCCACCGGCCATGCCGGCGGAGTAATACAAAACATCAGATGAAAAACCATTCACGGCCTGCATCCTGGTCCAGCTACGTGGTGCACCGGGTGAGGAGGAACAGGTACTGTAACTTACAAATTATTCTTCCAAACAAGTCAAAGTGTTTGTAAACAGCGTGTTCGGAAAACAGCTGTTATGTTTGTGTTTTTTGTCAATGAATGTCCGATATTTCGTAAAGCATGTAGCTGTAGTATGTGACTATACTAGTACTAGTCGTGATGGGGGAGGGGGGCATCCTCTCGATCTCGGAATATTTTATCTTAGACAACAAAGATTTTAAACTCCTCGGACTCAATAAAGCTACAATCCCAATATAACGTTACATCAAACCTGGCTTAGTGCGTTGCCTTGTACTAGTATGTAATCTTACCCTAGACCGATAGACCATATTGATCTCGACAGCTGGTCCTCGAAATAACTTGCCAGTTTTTCTGCATTCAGTAACTTCACAGGCAATTTTTACACGCACTAATTAATTACAGTTACTGTATTTGCCTGTCACAGTTTCAGTTGATCGAAAAGTTAAAATGTTTGGAAAAAGAATGTTCCTAGCAGCATCATTTTCAATTTTAGACAGTTCTCTGCAATCAATGTCTTCAATCAATGACGGAGATTCAAATATATGCTTCAAATCAAAGGCAGTTTTTGATGATGTAGCCTGGACCTGAAAGTTTTGAAAGTGCTTCAAGCCATCATAGCTGAACCGCCCTAGCTTTGTGTTTCATGAAAATAGGTCATGGGTGAGTTCACGATTAATCACTCACTGGTGAGCCTGTCATGGCTCCAGGCAAGTTGTCAAATTTGTTCTGCAAATTACAAGCCAACTTCTGGCCAGGCCTAACAAAGGTGCTGTGTCACCCTGAGGGGATGTAGTTAACAGGTTGTACTAGTTGAATGATACAGAAAGTGATAATAACCCTAGCAATTGTGTTTGTTCATTATGCAGTGGAATAGTAATATGGCATTCAGTCAGCAATAGGGCTGTCTTAATCATGTATTTTAATAGAAATGCGAGTATGCGACCCACCAGGGATGCTGCACATGTTTTATGGAGACTGTCTTGTTGTCCATCCTGAACAGATAACACTGTGATTGACAGCACCAAGGACAGACCATTGTGTAGCATTATGTCGAGTTGCTGTAGTACACAGGATGGCTGCAGTGCAAATGGACAAGGTAAGGTCTGGATAGAGGGAATATTTTACTGGATATAAGTTGTTAGTGTCATGGCTTATGTACATGTAAATACCTACCTGAGAACACTATGTCGCAAGATTGAGACATCATACAAATGTTTCCTTGATTGATTATACATTTATACAATACAGATGTTATGATCCTTATAAAGACTGACTGGGAGCAAGAAGGATGACATATAGAAAGTAACCACTTCAATTCTACACTACAAGTAGATTGATGCCCAATTAATGTAAGCGCCCCCAGTTTGGGACAGAATCCGACAGATTGCAATCAAGTCTCTGCAGGGTTGAAATGTAAATGTATACGTATGTACAACCTTTCTCCTCCATCTTTTTTTTGAACGTTTCGAAATGGAAAGAAAATCAACAATTATTCTCAACTTATTTCTTATTGCTTATTTCTCTCGGGCCCCTTGAAATATCAGTCCTTTTCAGCTGAAGGTACCACACATGTGTACCAAAGATCAATCAATCAATGAAAAAATTTCTCAGGTGCAGACAAGATCCATGATGAGGTAAAGGAGTACTATGGGAAGAAGGTGAAGACCCAGAAAGACCTGGAGACCAAGGCTTGCCTCATGATGCCGTCCAAAATACCAGCACACGTCAGACAGGCACTGTCAGCAGTCCACCCCGAGGTAGCTGCCAGGTAAAGACATGAAATTCAATCAACTGTTTTTTTGTTTGTTTGAACCTTTATTTGTTCACCAGAAGCTCAAATTGTACTAATTTGTAGTACAGGCCTAATCTGGGTGTCTATTTGTTACTGAGGTCCTTGCACTTGCTGCTCAAAAAAAAAAGAGCCTGGTCGAATTATTTAAAAATTGGATGGCACCCAGGCTACTACAGTCCTGCAGATCAGACAGAATATACATTGTAACAAATGTGTGTTCTCACTGCGCAATTAATCATAGTTTAATTTGTAGTTTTGTGTTGTAGTTTTGTATGTGAAACTGAATGGCACTGCCGCAGTGTTATTTACACACTGACCTCTCCCCATGGCAGGTACTATGGTTGTGGGCTGGTGGTGCCGGAGTGCCTAGAGGGTGCCTGTGTGTTGGACTTGGGAAGTGGAACCGGCCATGACTGCTTCGCTCTCGCAAAACTGGTCGGGGAGAAGGGCCACGTCACCGGCATAGACATGACAGATGAACAGGTACAGTCTACACCCCTAAACATCAGTACAAGTAGGGCAACAAATGGTTGCAATTGTGGAAAATTAGAATTATTTCCCAACATACACTTTTTGAATGTTTATAGTTATAGGAGACCTAACGATCATATTTTTTCAGGACTGAACACAACATTAATTTTTCCTGGTAGGCATCTGGCATACCTCTTCATTAAGGCAACAGTCAAAGTTTTCAACTGCAGTTTAACATGTTCCAATATATCCCTCCCATGTTCAGCTGGATGTAGCCAGACAGTATGTGGACTACCACAGGGACAAGTTTGGCTACTCCACAGCAAACACAGAGTTTGTGAAGGGTTACATTGAGAGGCTGGGGGAGGCTGGGCTGCAGGATGACACCTTCGACATCATTGTGTCCAACTGTGTGGTCAACCTGTCCCCGGACAAGGCAGCTGTCCTCAGGGAGGGGTACAGGGTACTCAAGGTAACAGTAAACCTGAAGTTTAGGATATATTACCATTTACTGTGCATTCGAGGGGGGGGGGAAGGGCTGCGCTAAAGCCCTCTCAAACACACTAAATGAATATTTCAGGGTGACGGGTTTATACATATGTACATGTATAACCCCCAGACTCTTGTTAATAAAAGGTTATACTTATATGTACCTGGCTCAAATTTTAGTATGAGTAGATGATGATTATGGATTGAAAATGTCTTCAAGTTCAATCTGATGTACATGTATATACATGTACAAGGTTTCTTTGAAAATGTTTCTGATGCTCTCCTGCCCAGCCTGGAGGGGAGCTGTACTTCAGTGACATCTACGCTGACAGAGACGTGCCTGAACACATCCGGAAGGACAAGGTCATGTGGGGTCAGTCACTCGTGCTACAGTTCACTGCTTAATGATTGTGTAAAGCTTATTGTGGACAAAAAGATTTGTCCTTAGTGAGTAGGTATGTTAATTTAGGAAGACATTGACTAAAGTAAAGGGATGGATAGAGAGATGAATGGACTGATGAATGGAAGGACCAATAGACTGATATACAACATGGGACAAGGAATCTTGCATTTTATATTAAGTTTAATTTGATTTGATATGTGATTGTTCGAGTGATTCCCTGCTGTCCAGGAGAGTGCCTTGCTGGTGCCCTGTGGTGGGAGGACCTAATCAGACTGGCTAAGGAGGTTGGCTTCTGCACGCCCAGACTGGTCAGTGCAGGACTGGTCAACTTGGACGACAACAAGCCCATGAAGGACCTTGTAGGTAAGGCATGTCCGAACTTAAAGCATTTATTAATTTATCAAGGAACATACCAAAAGTAAGAAGGGGATGGACAAGGAAGCATGATCAGAAGTATGATTGTTGTGACAGGAAAGTGTACACACAAGAAAAGCAGAATCATTAAAATAGTGATACAACACAATATACAACGGTCACAACAGTCCATCATCTTTATTGTTTATTTTGTTCTGTTTATTGACTTGTGTGTGTGGATGGCGTTCAGGACTAAGGACAGGCCTGTTGTCTTGTGTATGGTGCTCAGCATGTTACTTGTCTATAAAACACACATCACTACTTGTGCTACTTTTGATCTTCAGGGGACATCAAGTTTGTATCAGTGACATACCGGCTGTTCAAGCTTCCACTGAACACTGTTAAGGAGGCAGCACAGGTGATCTACAATGGCTCTGTCACTGGGCATGAGACAAGCCTGAAGTTTGATGCACATTGCACCTTCCAGGTTCGTGTATATCATCTTATTTAAGTACAGCTTACGTATTTCTTTGGTTGCTATTTATTTTTTGGTGTGATTAATCCTGATTAGAAAAATAACCTAACAAATACCTAAACATATAGTACAGATTCTGTAAATTTTCCAAGCCATTTCGTATCATTGACATTGTGTCAGATACAATTGCAATTTGTATGCTTGTCTGTGCAGGAAGGGCAAGTTGTAGAGGTTGACCCTGAGTTGTCTGCCATCCTCCAAGAGTCCAGATTTGCTGATGACTTTACTGTCAGACCTGCCAGTAAGAAAACCAAAGCAGACCCAGAACTGTGCTGTTCAGGAGCCAAGGTATTAGAATAGCATTGCCTTGAGGTTTGGTGCTCAACTCAGTTAAGAATTTTACAGTTAGCACAGACAAGAACTGTCCAAGTTCACAATTATGTCTCTTTTGTTTTCTACCACTTCTAGAAGGACTTCTTGTATACATCATGCATGCCTATGGATGGTCAACTAGATACCACTAATGTTTGTGTATCAAAACATATCAGCATTGCTGTTCATACAGTTAGAGTAACACACTAATGAACCCTTATGTTTCCCTCCAGGGAGTTCCAACAAATCCTTTTGAAGGACCACTAGAGAAGGAGTCATCCTGCTGTGGACCAAAAGGCTGCTGCTGAGCTCAGATTTCATGGCAGAAAGTTATGTTGTAATAGCGAAATACTGTTGTAAAACTAAAGACTGGGGTTTGTAAAAGTCAGACTTCTGTCAGAGAAGACAAGTTTGTTGTGTTATACAGTACAGGTACTCTTTATTTCTGCTCTTCTTGCTGATAGGAAAAATAAGTACATGTACTAGTATATGGCATTTGACACAACATATGACAGGAAGCAAAATATTTCTCAGAGAGCTGTGGAGTTCAAGGTGAAGGCCTATCACATGTACAACAATAGTTATGATATTATATGATATGATACAGCTGGTGTGTTATGCTGAGGGGCAGTTGTACTTTACAGATAAAGATTATAGCAGGACACTAAGTGAGCCTTGTGTTTCAATGAGGCAAGTTTATAGACTGTGTGCATCCTTTGTAGATATGTTGAAGCATGTTTCTCGGGAATTAAGGTGTATATTAGATTATTACATGCAAATGGAATTAAATGTATACTTTAAATGTTACTCTGTGTTTGGTCTATTATTCTGTGATTATTATGTAGTGTATAACCTACATGTATAAATCTATTACCACATGTACATGCACCAACCAACAGACCCTGGTCTAGAGCAACCACCCCTGAGTGGCTGCTGACAATACTTGTAGGTTAACAAGTTGCTACAAACACACAATACCAATTAAAATAATAAAGTGGATACAGTGAGAAATGTTACTACATACCACAAAACATCACAGCTTAAATATATAGATATATATAAGTCACTGATAAGTATATGTATGTACATATTCATAAGATATTCAATCACGTTGATGACATGAATGTAAACATTTTTTTTTGTGCAACACATGCACTACAAAATCAACACACATTCAAATATTTAGCCATTAGATATAATGTAGAAGTAGATATCTTGTAAGGACCAGCCCTACGTTTCGAATGTACAATTTTTACACTGGAGATATTTTGAGGTAGGCATCAGGTATACAGCATCATTCAAGCCAATGCTTTCAAACCTGGTGTTTATTTTTCTAGAAAGGCTTGATCAAGTTGATGTTAAGATTTGTTAACAAAATAATGTGAATTTACCCGGCATGGCCAGATTTGGAGGCTGAGTCAAAAGACACTTGAAAACCAGCAGAAGCACCCCTGACAGTGCCCATTCCTTAGGTTGTAGTCTGCTGTTTGAAATAAGTGCAGTGTACTGTGTAGTTTCAGAAGGAAGGGAGCCCAAAATTCAGTGATGTCTTACTTTTACTAAATGGATTTACACCAGGTTATCTCTGTAACCAATGGTCGCCATGCTGATATCCTCGGGAAGGTACGCCTGAAAGCGATTCTCGCGCGAGGTGTTGGCCCTGCTCACGGCGGCGTCGCTCCGGTGTCCCCAGCCCACGGGCACGATCCGTGCGTGAGCAGCCGCCCCCTTCACGACGCGCAGCGCCGCCTTGCGGAACCGTTGGTTGAATGCAGTGTAGATGATGGGGTTGAGCATGCAGGACGACTTGGCGCACATGGTGGGGATGAAAAGGGCCATGATCGGCAGGTGGCGCTGGAATATGGCCCAGGTCGAGGAGACGGCGTACGGCGTCCACACGGCGAGGAAGGCCACCACCATGGAGAGGCACATCTGTGGGCAATTAACATGTAACGTTACATCTGTTGGTAAAGGTGCACTCGTTACCTACAATTCACTTGCCTGTACTACCTCTTTAACTGTGTTAGTCCTTTTTGTCCCATTCCTCAAATATTTTCCCAGTTGGTTAAGTCATACGTTGAAAGAAATTTGAGGTACAAATGTATTTCTATTTGTGTTCGGATATGCCATTCAACACTAGGAACGGGCCTGTATGGTGTTCAGCACAATGTTCAGCACCAGGGACAGTTCTGTTGTGTCTGTGTGTGTGTGTGTGTGGGGGGGGTGTCTAGCACCAAGGACAGACCCGTTTCTATCAGAGTGAAGCGCGAAGCGCCTTACGATGATGTTCTTCCTTTTGTCCTTCTTCACGACTTGTCGCGCCTCTTCGCTGGCCAGGGCGGCGAATCGCATGGAATCCATCCGCCGGATGACCCGGATGTAGCAGAACGCCATGACGGTGATGTGTAGGACGTAACAACCCAGCAGACACAGGGAGACGTACAGGGCGTCAGACACGCTCGACACGTACCAGTCTATGGCGCAGGACGTTCCTAAAGGAAGTATTAACATTTCAGTACACGAACGTAGACTGTTCAGAAGTCGCTGTCACTGTGACGATATCCAGGAAGCATTACTGTTCCCAAAGCACCGACTAGTAGAATGCAGAATTCTTTCCCCCGTTACACAAACAGCAAAGCCCAGACTGAATCAAACTTATTTTTGTGTTCCTTCTGTTGTCGTGCTTTTAATTTGTAACACAAGTTCGAATACAATTCAGAAATCTTGACAATGTGTTTCTGCAATCCCTTGCCTTTTCCAAACATAACCGGAATATGCCAACTGCAGTCTTCAGATGTATATGTCAGTATAGACGGTTTCACTTTCAAAAGCTGGATTTAAAGCGAAGACCTTTTATCTATGTACACGTGCCCGTCCGGTTAAAAAACCATGAAATAAAGATACTGACGTCCGTTGACGAGTTTAGCATAAAGCAACCATGAACAGATCAAACCCAAGTGACGTTAAAACCTAATCAGGCAGGCGAAGCTAGCTACGAGCAATGTACTACACCTCGCTATGTTCTATTCAAGCAGTTTCACAATAAAGACTTGAAAGCTTCTATAGTGAGCTTGAATTCACTACAAATGAAGGGAATCTAATTCAAACCACGCGAGACCTTTCGCCCGTAAATCTTCTCCTAAGTGATTGCGCAATTGGTGTTTGACCCTTGCTGATCATTGCTGATCTCGCCGCACACGACAGGCCTGGTAATTCCGACCATTTATCTTCTCAGAGAAATGGTAAAAGTACACATCGCCACGGCAAGACTGGGTACTTAGGGAAAATCTTTAGGCTCCCTTTCCAAGAGACGACAATTACTAAGCGACCGTACGCGCGCTTAGAGACCAAAATTAGATTTGTGTTACCCTTGATTTGATAATTGGAATATGATTCACGATGTTTGTGCATGAGTTATAAGATAACAATACACACAAAACGTGAAAAAAATTATTAATTTATGAAATTCGACAAGCAATCTGTCACATATTCAGTCTCTCATCTGTCGCAGCATGTACTGGAAAGGGGTGTTATGTAAAGAGGTGGGAGTAAGTGCGTGGGAGGCATATGACCTCGTTTTTCAGTACGGACAAGCTTGCCTTGCCAGCAGCTAATCACTGCCGAAAGGGTACCAGCGCTGTTTATATAAGCTTCCAATTATCGGCCTAGTCTGTGGTAGTCAGATAATGTCGATGATGCCGAATCGTGAATCCAAGCGAATAACTTGCTCCTTGCTTTTTCCTAGCACTGTTCCACACACTGCGCGTGTTGATCTTCTAAACCAAGAAGATATGTGTTCATCTTCTAAACCAACGTTTTTATGTCAAATTACTGGAAAGAAAGAATGCCATTATGAAAAGCTGTTTCTGGCGGCGGTTACAGTCATCATAGGTTGTCGTAGGATTTTATGTTTCCAAGCAGACTGTGACAGAACCAACGGCCGAGATGGATATAAGGCAGCCTTTTCTGTAACAGCTAGATTTCTCAGGACACAAGCACGGCTATTCAGAAAACGTACAACGTATGTGACCGGGTCCTTACCGAACGGCAGCATGCTGTACGAACTCCACCCAAACAGCGGCGGCACGGTCCAGACCAGGGCGTACACCCAGATCCCCACGATAACGTGCACGGTGAAGCTCTGGGTCAGTCTACAGGCTGTGGGTTTGAAAACAACAACATTATACAGTGGTGGGGGTTTCGGACTAGATTCTACAGTTTAGAGGCTAAGTGACATATTGACAGATTGCTGAATTAGCCTCCATGGCTTGACGAATTTCATAGATACTGTTTGTGTGTTTTGTTGTCTTTTTAGACTTTTAAATCATACTTTCACATTTGCCTCATATTCCAATCATGAAATTAAGGGTTACACAAATGCGATTTCGGTCGCTGCACGGTCGCTCAACGATCGCCGTGTAGAGGTGTTCAGGATTCTGTCACTAACATCGAGGCACTATTAACAGGTGGACACCTGCGTCCTACATAGCACATTAGCACTTTGCTCCTCTGTACTACAGCAAACCTTAATTCTCCTCATCGCAAGGAAGGCAATGCCATTTTCTCGGAGACATATTGTCCGAATGTTATGCGGGCCGTACGTGCGGTGAACACATTTTTCGTCTTCCTAAAACCGCTCCCTGACCGGGAAGGTGGCCTACAGTGAGTAGGGTCGTTAAACTTTCCCCGCATGGCATACACTCAATGGTTAGTGGTACTACCACAATTCTAGTCACGAATCAACAAAATTGCCACTTACAACTTACGAACACCGAAGATGTAACTTTAGCTGCGTGGTTTGAGTCTTTGATATGGAGTTTGACGAATCAATCTGCCCCCCCCCCCACCGGGCTCGAATATCCCTGAAGCCGGCATCACACAGCAGAAAGTAGTTCACCCCCATGAGTCTTGCGAACTGTAAAAGACAATTTCGGTAGTGGTACGACCGGTGTCCTATGTTCGCAGGTCACCGAGCCCCGTCCGAAGTGTCAGGGTGAATTATCAGGCGAAAAATAGGCTCCATTCTCTGGCGACTCGGAAATTCTATGACCTTCTGGCAATCGTCAAATTCACCCCAAGGTCATTGACAGTGTGACGCCGGCTTTAAAGGAGTACTAACCTCCAGAAGGAAGTGCTATTTTCCGATACATCCTGCTACAATGAATACATAACTAGCCGACTTTTTACATAATTTCGCTTGTACGACTTGCACGGCGCATGTTTGTAAAGTGATATCAATATCATTTTCCCCCATGCTGAACCACAATCGATACATCCGGGAACTCTGGCTTACGCAATACTCATACACTTCAAGTCAACATAAACATTTTTCGGCGAAAATGGTAGGAGACATGCTGATTATTGCGAAATGACTTGCTTTACTTTGCTTGACCTGTGGCTTGGATACTATAATATCAGGATGTCTAATGCAGTGGGCGCTAGTTTCATCCTGCGTGTTTTGATTTTCTCAACTTATTTGCATGTAAGTATTAATTGAACAGATAATTAGATTACGCCACTTATGGAAAAGATAACTAGATTACGCCGTTTTTTTCATCGTCAATATTTTCGGCATAAATGAGGGGCGATAAGGACATCAATAAGGGCAATGGTTGGTAAGATACCAAAGAACACAAAACGGCACGAATTTTTCTTATCGCCCCCGAAATGAGGTCTGTAACGTAACTTTCTGTTTAAAACATAGACACCAATGGGGTAGCGTGGTGTATTCTGGGATAGTTTTGAGGGTATTTGGAGAGTTTGTCCTGGATTCGATGCGTTTGAAGACTTGCTCGCAAAATGGGCATTTGATTGTATACTGTAAAGTAATATACATTTTTCACTTCCTAAAATTAATGCCTGTCGGAATATAGCACCTCCTTCTGGAGGTTAGTACTCCTTTAAAGAACGTAACTTCTAACTAACACTGTTGCTTCCCTCTCGAGCCTTCACGAACCATTATGAATTAGATAACCAAAATAATCTTAATGACATATTTGTGTTTTGCGGTTCCTGTATCGCGTATCTTCAACCGCACTAATTGTCAATAAATCAACGGCAACTCATCAGTCATCTTATCTTACATCCACGGGGCCAAGCCTTTAAGATGCTACAAGATGTCTTCCTGTACCACCCTTTTGTGGAAGCATTTGATTTTCGTGGCAGCTAATATCGACTATAAAGTGGAAGACTCCCTGTGGTCTCCTGTGTGGTATATTGTTGCTCAAAACTCAAACGGCATCTGTGGACATTCTTTGGCCGCTACAATTTTGAAGTGCGTGTGTGTGCACGTGTGTCGTCCGCCAACATTCGATTATGTAGTCTGACATTCCTAGACAACTTTGGGGTGTACACCATTGTGGCTCAGTAACAGGTAAGGTGACAGATAATGCAACACAGACACACGGGCGAGTTCGCCAGGAAAGGTCAAATGAGATTTAAATTTCATTCTGCTCAGAGACTGTAATGACGTACATAGAGAGATGGAGATATATTATAGGGCGGTTTCCGGAGGTTACATGTGAGCAGGAGCATGTGAAATTGCTATCATTGGAGATTAACTTCTGGCCTCACTATATAACATGTATTATGGCTGTGAAAATATTTGGCAAGTAAAACCGATTAGGTTGTCTCTGGGCCTTGGTCACAAGTCATAGGCATAGATTCCTCTGATTCATGTACGTACCTTTCAATGAATTGTAGATTAAGTCTAATAACATAATATATAAACCCATTTTCCATTTTCAAGATGGAAATAATACAAATTCGTAGACATTTTCTTCTCAAATTCTTAAGCAAGACACATAGCTAGCTAGACATGCAATGTAGCTGAGTGTTGGAAGATTAAGATCATGCATATGCATGTCTACCGTCAAATTCTGTACTAAGGGCTATTAGATACCATGTACATATGATGTCAAACGCTGTTTCTAACGTATTTTTTTCTTCATGAGAAGCACTCATGATAAATCTGTAATTGGTATCTTTTGACGGATCAAAAGTGCCAGTGCAGAGGGCGAATGAGTAACTTGTGCATTACACGTAATGAGCATTGGGTCACCTAGTTGCATCTCGATGTAGATTTTAACCGTAAGTGCTGGCGCTTTGAAATCGACAGACTGGTACACTAGTATATATGCTAGATGTAAGAGAACTTCCGTCATAATGATTAGAATTTAAACACTCTTGCGGAAATGAAAGAGGCTTCCGTCATTAAAAATCTATTTTAATTCACGTCGCGGCTTTGTCGCCTGCGAATTATTCATTCACTAGTAAGTTTTTAATGAAAGGCTTTTAGAACGAAATTAATGCCTATTCTTTCCCCCATGTATCTGCTGTGCCACGTGCCTGGAATTCGCAAGTCGTTCAAGCTAAGCAGTGGATTATGTTGGTGTCAGACTAACTTAAAGGCATCGCATCTCACCTACTTATCTGTCTACCCACTTTCCACTAGAGGCGCCCGCTGAGCAACCAAGCATGTGATAGGTCGCCCAACGAGTTTGTGTGACGTTTGTGTGTCTTTTTCATACTTCTATATTGTACGTCATCTTATACTTTTAAAATTAAGGATTACACAAATCCTAGCGGAAAGAGAACTTTACATTGAGATGCCTAAGCCTTCAATTTCTTGAGACGGGCCTAGCCTGTTAGTTCCACCAGTAAGACGCATGACACTATTACAATTATATGCAGGACCGTGCCTATCTAGTTCTATGGATGTGTAAGGATTAGGATCAGGCACAGTTCTGAAGACTCTCCAGATCCGGACATCCAATAACGTATTTAACCCAGCCAGGCACGGCTCCGGATACCCGTGGACGAGCATGCATGATTCTATGTTTCTGGTTCTGGAGACAACAATTCCTTACCATACTGCGGTTTGCAGATGATGATGTATCGGTAGACGCTAATGACACAGAGCGTGTTCATGCTGCTCATGGCGCAGGTGAAGCAGATGAAGCCGTCCAGCACGCACCACACGTGGCCGAACAGCCACTGCCGGGCGTAGCTGGCGATCACCGTGAAGGAGTAGCCGAACACGGCGATGGCCAGGTCGGACACGGCCAGGTTCAGCAGCAGGATGTTGTGCTCCTTCCCGCGGAACTGCTTCTCTTTCAGAAACACGCTGATCGCCAAGCCGTTACCGACCACAGCTACGATACCTTCGGAAGAGAAAAACAACGAAGCACATATAACAACTGTTTGTCTTATCATGAAAGTCCATATGTGTTGGTAGTGATCATAGTAAAATGTTGATCTTTATTCCAACATAAAGATTAAGATTTTCTACGACCGCTGTCGCCTTCATCAGTTTTTTGTCTTATTGTTACGTTGCCACAAGGAGCTCCTTGGTTGCCAGTGTTGGCGCGGTCATATTATTCGTAGGTGGTAGGACGATTTTGAAACCGTAAAACTTTCGAGCAGGCTGTGACAGAACCAACCTTTTCCACAACAAGACGTATCGGCCACTTGCACACATGTAACTTTATTTTGTAAGTACAACAGGTGACAATATAGTGGGAAACAACGTTAACGGTTTGAGGTTTGCGATTGTGCCATTGTATCCAGATTTTAATATCACAACATGCTTCCAAGGAGATTAAACGTTGCTCGATGGAAAAGCATTCTTGTGTAGGGAAAGAAGCATGATCTCATTGCTGTGAATGTTCTACGGACACCCACACGCATAGATTGCGCTCATCATCTGTATTCCCAGCCACGATTGTACCTCAATGGCAAAACAGTAAGGGTAAAGTTCGCGCTTTCCAATTCTTCATAGGATCCCACTACTAGTAAACAAGCATCCTCTAAAGCTATGACACCATCAGCTCATTGATTAGTCTCGCCTTTCGTGCCAGGAGACGTCTTTGACGCCGGATCTGAAAAGGGCGGTGAATCATTTACAGTGAACTTTATGTTTCAACAGTTGCCTTAAATCCCGCTGGTGATGACACAGGTGGTGTTACAGCCGTACATCCCGACATGATAATGAGATGTAAGGTATGGTATGGTTTAGTTTGAGTCTAGTCTTTCTCACGAGGGCAATTAGGGGTTTATTGAAGAGACGTGGGAGTACGGTGGCCTTGAGTAGAGACGCTGTCGATCTGTAAAACTCTAGATGTGAACACAGGGACTCATTGGACTGTGATGAACTTCCTGTGGCGTCTGTGCGTGGGGCCTGTTACATAGTCATTCGAGAATAACAGTGCAATTTGACCTATTTTATGACGTGGTTGAAATAAAAAAAACTGTCTTGGTCCATTTTCTAAGATCAAAATGGATGGGCATTCCTATCAAATAATACGATAACTAGTCCTTGGTTCCGTTAGAGGTTTAATTGGCGAATATATCATATTATCAGTTCTGCAGCTGCCCACTTAGTGAGCTGTTCCATCACCATCCGTGTCAAATTAAACCATGCCGAGCCCAGACGTGATTATATAGCATACTAAACACTGTCAGACAAAACTTCATCCGTACCGGGCATTCCAAGTGGTCCTCTACCAATCTTGCTTATAGTCACTGCCTTTTTGTAAAATTTACTTGAAGTCGCATGGATGAAAATGTTGTGGTGGATGTTCGTTTACACTTTAAACTTGCACTTACACTGCCCGTTTAATGCCTATATAATTGTGTAATATTTTATTTCATGCGATTCGTGAATATTCTTTAAAGTTTCAAGCGTACTTAGAATCACAGAACTACAATTACAAAGTTCCTGCTTCCCTCTTTGGTCAGATTAGTTGAACGTATTGACACTAGTAATCAAAGCATCTTGCCGCCGTACAATTAAAGCAGCTGTCGCGTACCGCGCGTTCTCAGTAATGTTTATTGACAATCAAGATGAAGGCACAGCGATTTTCCACAGTTGTAATCTTCCCATATGTCTCCAGCGGTGTAATTTAAGCCCTTTTTATTGCGACAAAAAGTATCAATTGAATCGCAGTGAGAAATCTTATTGGGTTAGTTGTTCATGATCCAGTGAGCGGAAACTATCCCGGATACGCTCTCCTACACACTAACGGATGTATATGTGACTTTTTTGTCAAGGAATGTAAAATGATTTGGCCACAGTTAAAGATATGTTAAAGGCAGAATTGTAGGTTAATGTAAAATGGGGGAAGGGGGGGGGGTACTAAATGACCAGCCATCACGGACGCTACACGGGACCATTTTTTGGTCATCTTCTATGTGCCCTTGCCCTATTTGGTCATTGGCCGTTAAATTATGGCTTTCTGATACAATAAACGCCCCATTTTCTTTCACTCAAAAATCATTCCGCCCCACTTTGCAGACATTTGTGGATCATCCACATGATTGAATGATTCACATTAAAAAAATCACGATAAATCCTTCCCATATTTGCCACTACAGTCATATCACATTACATGATTTTCGGTTATTCCATCAAATTCACCTTGAAGTAATTTAGCTTTTATACCCCTGATAGTGGCAGCGGTTAGTTCGGCTGCTCGACATGGACATAGACATGCATGACGGATTGTACTTGTGTATACTAAGAAGTCTTACATTGTATGTAAAGACTCAATGACGTTCTGGTGTTGAATTGGAATGGTGATTAGAACCATGAGCTTATCATCCAACAGAGAAAAAAATGATCATATTCGTGTTCCATTGATATCAATGTCGAAAGGTTGAAACGTCCTGATCATAGATTTCCTGGATTTTTAGAGGATAGCAACAGACATGGCAGCAGCTATTCACGGTGACGTCAGGACACCCACGGAGCACTGTGGCGGCCAGCGCTGATCATTGCCCCCGGTCATTGATGTAATCGGCGCGGCTTAAGGACTTTGAGTGCAAAGTTGACCCTATCGACCCTTCCCTGACATATGGGACGTGTTGTATAATGACAGGAGAATATCTGTACTTTACACAACTAAAGCTGTATAGCCATGTCTCACGCACGGCACAAAAACTGGAATTTAAGCACGCTTAAACCTAGCGTAAAGACGACGTTTCTTCCTTCTTTCCACAACTTTAAAACTCCTCTAGGGCTTCAAAACAATCCAAAAAGTTACTGTCGTCATTGTCTTGATTTTCAAGTGCCTCTGAAAGACACGTCTGTAGTGTCTTCAATTAGTCATTATAATTATTTAAAGTAATATTAGTCGGCGTTTTTTTATAGAGAGACTCCTCTGTACAAATCATATAAGGCCAACAGTCTCAATTTTAGGTGATTGTTCGGACGAGAGCCCAAAATCCTAAGAGTTGGTAAAAATTATCACGTCTTCAGAACCTTTACTTTTATCAGGGCACCTGACGCATAGAAGGAAAACCCTTTTAACTTAAAAGGAGACACATGCAATCAGCGAGGACTAATTGTAAACATTTCTGTAGCAGTATGAAAGAGCCACTTTCTCTTTGAAGGACATCACTCTATCTAGCTCTGTCATCTTTCACAGAATATCACAGATCACTGGACAACAAATGTGCATGGCGCCGGCACAGCGGTGGCTTATGTTTTAGACCAAAGAGAACTACGTACAGATTAAATCCAAGAAACCGAGATATGTATTCTCTAAAGTATCCATAATCTAAAGTCTAAAGATGAGAAAATGTCCATATGGCTGTAATTGAATTGCACGTCACCAGCGTAAGTGGTAGAATCCTACATATTCAACAGAAAAACGACCCTAAAGAGCTGAAGATGAAAGACCTTCAAAGGATAAGAGAAGCAAGAGTGTCTCGTTTATGCCAGACATGATAATGACGTTTTTATCAAGAAATGTCTCAGAGACTCAGGGTCCATTAAAGCAGCTGCAGCTCGAATCCATTTACGGATAAAACGCCGCACAGCCACCGTACAGAAAGGGAATGCAGCTTATCTAATGTTGAGGTCACATTTTCAAACCGGGGCCCGGCCAGGCTGTTTGGATTAGCGAACAATCAACAATTTATATTATGAATATACGCAGATAGTTCCCATTGTTAATATTTTCAACTTTTTTGTGCTTGGTTGTTTTTTATATAATACTTTTCGATCCATAAGACTGCCCGGCCGGTCCCCGGTTTGGAAAAGTGACCTCAGTCTAATCAATCTAGGATAAACGCGTTTCCTTCCTTTCACACTCTCGTGCACGCATAATGAGAAACCGTGAATGGATCGTGTAGTCCTCAAAAATAAAATCATACAAAAGGGTGTAAAATAAAGGAAAGAAGTTATGTAGCGCACTGGTCATCATTACATATCATCACTGGTCATCAATACAGTATATACTATACAATAACAAATTTATAGTAAAAGTACACACTGCATGAAAGACAACTGGTGATATATGTAACCCTCTGTAATCTGTAGAAGTAATCATGGATAACATACATCTTTACCATGCGACTTTACATGGACTGCGACCTACACAGTTGTAATCCAATCAGCAACTTTTAGAACCAAATTAAACTTACGGTCCCTCAGCGACTGACATATCAAAATTATGAGCACGTCTACAGCTCTTACTATAAGCAGTCCAATCAAATGTTGTTCAAAAACTCATCCATCAATATGAAATCTCCATAATATAGGATTGTTGATATATTGATTCTGTCATGTTTTGGTTTTCTGGTAAGACGTCTCTTGTACATGTGTGCCCTTTGGGGCAATCTTCGTCGATATGCATCACATTCAGATATCCAAGAATCAGTCCAAAAAGATCGCAATCGCAGCTTCCTTATCAGACCATCCTGAAATACAACTACTGTGCGCACGTCTGCAATCTATACAATTTAAACAAGTTGACGTTGCAAGGATTTTTGTGCGATTTGTCTTCTTTATTGTTATTATTGATTGGAATTGCACAAAAATTAACTGCGTCACTCACTACGCATGCTACCCAAGGGGATGGTCGGACTTAATTGACTACAGACGACTCCCAGGGACTGGTGGATGACTAGTAGCTGACTCCCGTGAGTCCTTGGCAGTTTTATGCCGCTATTCATCAGCATAAAATAACACATCGACAGTTTAATTAGAGGAAAGGCCTTCCGAGTACCCTTACTTCGCAAAATGAACGCAATCCGCGCAGGGATTAACCCCGATCCGGTACCGCAGCGTGCCATCTACGTCACGTTTTATTAGTGGGCAGGTTGTTCACTTCCACCCACCTCTCCCATTGGAACAACACAACGGTGACTTTGGCAGCTATCACAAACATCACATAAATATGCAGCTGTCTAGAAGGTGGTATTTTATGGCGTCTTCTGAATCTTCCGGCGCATTGAATGTCCAATGTACTAGGCACAGGTAGACGATATATCTTAACACACACATATAAATATAATCTCATTGCAATATCCATCTCCAAAAAAGTACCTTGATTAGATATTTGAAATGTTTGCCTCTAGATCTGGCCGGTCTCTCTGAAGAACAATGGTCGCAAGTTCGAATCGCCGTGTTATATTTTACCCAGGGCTTCGTTAAATTTCTTTCTCTACGAAGTCAACTTCTTTTAAAGAGTAAACCAATTGCCGAACAACAGACCTCTTCAACATACAAGTGCCCACGCGACTGCGTCACTTTAGATCGACATCGTAGAGCGAGAACTTCAGCATTTTTCCGGTTTCTCATTACAATACAAAACCACAACTTCGGTAAAAGACCCCGCTTTACATTCTTCTCAGTAGGAATTGAAGTAGAATCAAGTGCTTCAGTTCTAACTCGTTTGTACCATGGATCGCTCATAAATCAATGACAATGTTCGCCCAAACTATCATTTAGAACAAACGCAGAATTGAACCCAAGATCAGGCCGTGCCACAAGCATAACTGCGTCTCAAAGCATGACCTTCACTTCAACAAAGGTCAGTCATCATACAGAAGGACGGCTTCTGTGGAAGACCTTTCAAAATTACATTCTGCTCACGAGGGGCTCAAATAAAATCGCCTGCTTCAATTCTAACTCGTTTGGGCTTCACAGGCGCGAACGTTTTAGAATTTGATTCACTTCTAAATTGATCCAACTATTGCATGGCTAAAGCGGTAATCGATGTGTAGAGCGGACAGTGTAAGGATTTAAGGCCTTTCAGAGAAGCGAAGATCACCAGCACTTAGCACTCAGAACTACATGCATCTCCTATCGGACAGCGCGGTGAACCCTGGGTGAAAGCGTTTCAACCTCAGGAAATAGTCCACCATTTCATCGGTGCAGCAGCACAACCAATCTAACCTTGTTGACAGAATCTATGGAGTATCACTATTCGCTCGTTGTATCCGGTGCAGTAGATGGTCAACTTGTCAAGTAATCGGCTGGGAGACCTTAATAATATTCATCACCTATATTACTGTTTCATAACATTCTTAATGGATTTAATCGTGAATATTACTGCTTTACCCCATTAGGACATGTACCTACGATCTAAGGAATAGTAGAAATATGAGAACTATCGAATTTCCTCGCATTGTATCTACAGGACATCATTTTACTGAGCGTCAGTGTAATTACTGTTGTTTGTACACTTTATAAGGACGCAGTCGAGTTTTGGAGGTACTTAGCCTACGGGACTGATGCTAATAAGGCTGGACTCCACGCTAGGGAATACTGCTGAGGTAAATACTAATTGGGATACTAATTGGGAATACTAATGAGGACATGCATTTTGAGCGTCAGTGTAAGGATGACATTTTGCATTAGTTTATTACAGGAAGTGGTCCAGCTGTTGACCACTAATTACAGGAAGTGGTCAAGCTGTTGACCACTAACAAGGGAGTGGTTCAAATCTCATTAGGAATGCATCACAACGTCTTCAGTTTGCTTCAGGACGTTGTGTCAAGTTGTGTTGAAAGACCCTGATCATTATGATGATAAAAGAAGTCAGCCTGTACCGCGTGGTTAATCATGACGGCACGGTACAAGTAAGACTGACGAACCGTAACGTCACGATGGATATGGGAAACTAACAGGTTTATTCCCCGGGCAGGGGTTGATTGGGAAGACTGTGACATTATTCTGTTTGCCGTTTTCGGACGCCCGGCCACAAAAACAGTCCCACATGACGGTTGGCGCAGTGACCCATCAAGGCACATTCTGTTACGGTTACTGTTGTTTACCCAGTTTGCTCGCATGCGGCGGGACACAACGTACCGGGCGGGGGACAAGCACAGTTTGATTGGGTAACAATTGGGTACATGTATCAATAGTTTTTTGCATGGCTCCAACTAGCTAGCGGCAAATCTTTGGTTGCCTAATGGATATAATCTCAAAGTAGATATTTCAGTAGGAAAGTTGTCACCAACCGGCTAGACAGTATCAGTAGACAAGACACTGTCCGTGGCCGGTGGTCTATTCTATAGTGTCTTGCCTATTTGTAAGGTAGTATGTTTGCTATCGTGACAGGTGCGCTTCACAGAATAACAGAATTAGCCATCTAGCGCGCACAATCATGGTAAAAGTACTAGTACTTTGGAGGATGAGCCAAACATCATCAGTGGAAATTTTATATACGTATATTTGGTAGATTACAAAAAGGTATCAGAGGCTGTCATGTTATTGGACTCGAGTAACAACAATATCGTCGTAGACATCACAAATTCCGCATTTTTATGTCATCCTTTTCTCTCTCTGTGTCTCAAAATAAACGTCATGCAACTTACCAACAATGGTGAGGTATATAGCAATAGCCATGTGAACGTCTGGGTCCAGTTGGTACATGGTGGTGTTGTATCTGTCGAAGTCGGTTGCAGCCCAAAGCGGCTCATCGTTGCTTCTGTTCGGGGCCCAGTCGTGGTCATCCCGACGGAGGCCGCCGGCCGGTCCCGGTGTCCAGGGCGGCCCGCCTGAGGTGCTCCAACAGCATGTAGAGTTGTCCATCTCGAGGTAGAATCGCTGACTGAGGAGCGAAGTAAGGAGCTGCCCATTGCCCGGTGTGGGAATACATGTAAATCTGTGATACACGGAACGGGTAGTGATAGGTGGCTTCATCAGGCCGAGTATGCAAATTAAGCCACGCAACGTACATTACTTGTATATCGACATAAAACGGTTGATTCTGGCGGGAACATATCGTAGTAAATAGCAGAAGAGTAACAGGTAATTTCTCATAATTACCTTGGATTCCTGCAGCTGTGGCGCATGATAACACGATCACCGCGATACTTGAAGGACCGTCAGCTGCAGCTAAGTGCTCCAGCCATGTGGATCTTCAAAAGCATTACTGTACAGAGACTTGTGTAGTGGCGTACGGCCCTCTTTCCACTAGACGGTGATTGTAGAGCGACCAAAACTGGATCTGTTTGATCCACGATTTTATATTACTATACAATAATGATGCACGCTGACTAAATCTGACTTTTATAAAAGACAGCAAAACTCACAATACGTGAAAATGACTATAAAACCCGTATGATGTATGATGAAAGGGAGGGAGACAATTTCGGGCGGTCATTGGCCTTCTGGTTTTTCCATCGACCCTTCTGTATTCCTCGCAGCAGTTACCCTGGATGCCAAACTAGTATCGGGCCGTTAGCCTTTTTCCTTCGGCAGCCGAGAGCCCTTCGCCCGCCTGCCTAAATTACCGCTACGGGGGAGTTGAGCCCGATGGGAGATGGCTGGCCCTAGAACTACCTCCCCCCGGGCTAGACTCCCCCGTAGCGGTAATTTACACCAGCGGGCGAAGGGCTTTTGCGGCCCGGACAGCGAGTTTGGATTCCAGGGTATGCAGCAGTGCGCTATGAAGGACAGAAATCGATAATCGTAGTTTAGGATAATCTACCCTTCGAGCTTAAGTGACGTAAGCAGCTGGAACAGTTAATCCCTCCTAAAAGCATTTGTCACAAAATAGGTCGGCGGACACCACAGGGAAGGAAGAACATCAGTTCTCCTGCTACCTGATTATTAACCGAGAATTTCCAAGAAATGGAGAAAGAAGCTTTTGAAGGACTGTCATCTTGAGATCTCTGATATGTCTTTAACGCGTACGAGAAAACAGCAATCTAAAATCATTCTCATGGTACTGCAAAGAGGACTCGCGCAACCACCTTATCTTGCTCAGAACCATCAACTTTATTTTTTAAATGACTTAGTCACTATAACTGGACTTTTGCCTCTACGCGTCGACATATAGAGGGGGAAATACCATGTTAAAGTAGATGGATTAATAACTAGAAAGGTAACATTTGCAAAGCAAATGCACAATGCTTACCTTCGCATGTGGGCTGCTCTGTTGATTCTTACTCAAATACATCCAGACAGGAGTATAAATCCCTCCTACTATAAAATTGCAACATTATATAACCCAATGCCAGTTACCATGGTGAGAGACGTCAACAAATCAGGTCATCTGCCAGGTCAGAGGTCAGTGTTTGGAACAGAGGAAGAAGAAGAGGAAACGTAGCAAAAACAATTGAGTGATAGGTTATATCTCCGATGACACAGTTTGCAAAATATAGGTCGTGCGAATCTTCAGCAGACTGGAAAGTGTGCCAGTTTGGAATTGGATGGGATTTTGATGACGTCCCTTGGGCGCCCCGAATATTTTCATATTCCCATTAGTCTCGCTTAGCTGCAGTTGTATCGAACTTTCCCCTGCACTTATTCCGCTACTCAAAGCCGTAAACATATCATCAATCGCAATCATAACTTTTTATTCAGCCATCATTGCCGGAGTAACATAATGGTAGACTTGCGTCGATTTTACAAGTAAAGTAAGATAGTACTAAGCACGTATTGAAAACAGAAATGAATAGCAGGAACATGAACACAAAACTAATTATGATTCAATATCACAGCGCAGCAGTGCATTTAATACATTAGGCTGCCACAGTCGATGTACATCTACATTTCCCTTGTTACTGTGACCTACAGGCGACACGTTTGTTTTAGTTCACCCCTGACATCTGTAGGATGTGACAGCAGTAATGGATGCGGAAGACAAATTCTTCATCGATCATCCGTTCCACATTACACCTCCCAGCTCAACGTTAAGTTCAAGTAGGAAAATCCCCAGCGTGTCTGGCCTGCATTAGCCGTCTTCTTTTGATATTCAAAGTAGTCAAAGGACCTTCATAACCTACGTTTTAATTGTACTTTTCCATTGAAGATTGCTTATATAATTAGAATAGTGTCGAGCTCGAACTGAGGAAGTAATGCTTATTTTTCTATATGATGATAAATAGATAGATGATAATTAGATAAATAGATAGATAGATGATGTCCTCAATGTACTGTTTTCGTGAGGAGGGCCTAATAGAAACCGAATACGTTAATCTGTAGGAGTCAGGCTTATCTGCATCGAGTTCTAGGCGATTGGTGCGTCCTTATAAATGGGAATGGTACTTCACGACTTGACGGGCCACATTTGTGGGGTTTCACGTATATTTTCAAATAGCCTGGATTCGTTTAAGAAATTACGTAAATCGGTCATTAATCAAACGTATGAAAGCTGAAAGATTTCGCTCGTTTAAAGTTCAAGCTGCCTAGTTGACTTTACTGGTCCTAATTGGTCCCTACGTGGGTTATTTTTACAACATGATCCGTTACCGACCAAGTAATGGTGGTCCACTAGACGCGATGAAGGCAATGTGACGGCTAGTCGCCAGGTAGACCTTTCGGTAACAAAGTCATATTACCGAGTGTCTTCCCTATTAATAATTATATTTCAGTCCATACCATGGTATGGATGAAATATATTGTGTTCCCTCATGTTTCTCCTTCTTCTTCTTCTTCTTCTCCTGCCACTCGCTCTGAGGGATTCAACTCCGCCATCATTCAGCCAAATGACTTGAAATTTGGCATGGAGGTAGAGTGGGCTAATACCCCCAGGCGTTTTTTTTCATTTTTTTGATACATGCCTTTAAAAAATTTTTATGAAGGTTTTTTGGGGCATTTTTCGCCAAAAAATGGATTTTTGGCTCCTGAGCCCTGGTTTTACAACCAAATGATCTGAAATTCGGTATAAGGGTACCTTGAACATGTGTCTACAGAACAACAGTCACATATTTGGCATACACCACTTCCAAATGACTCATTTGGGGGACTTTAATGGCTATTTTCAGCAAAAAAAGGGCCAAAAGTGCTATACCCGTTCCATGTTCTATCTAAAGAATGGCACGTTCTATCTGCCGTTGGCCATGGAACAGGTGTTCCATTGCGGGTTACCTGAGGTCACATTGCACGTAAGTCGTGCGTAATGACCCACACATTCAATTTTATGTGCCTAAGACCTTCAAAATGTATCAAATCTCATCATTGTTAGTATTTGCATACCTGTAAGAAGATTAGTAAAGCTTTCGAGATTCAATGTGCTTGTTGTTGCATCTTTGTTCTCAATTACATCGCTACTATATAATTCATTTAATTGAGAATCTTTGCCAGTTTTACACTGGCGTAAGTTTGGAATAGTCCACTTTTGCGTGGGAGGGAGATGGACTGAAATATGCTGTATTTGCTCCCAAGCAAATGTCGGCCTCTCTAGTTGGATACTGTCTTACCGGTTGGCTACGATTTTACCATCGAGAGATCTACTTGGGGATTACTGTTTGGTAGCCCTTCCCTAACCAGACATGGGTGATCTGTCAGTGCCGTGGTATACAATGAAAGGTCGGATATATATTGGAAATCAGTTTACAGTGTAGATTACTTTTCAGTCAAAATGCCATTGGGAAAGACGTTAAACTGATATTGTGTATATTATTAAACAACTTAGTTTTGTAAAATGCTTGTCATAGAATTGTCTTAACACAAATTCCCGTTTTGATGACTTTTTCAACAATATGTCTACTGGAGAAAGGACCCGAATTCTTCTTGCATTCTTCTGTGGGGTTGGAAAATATGAGGACTACATCAAAATGCAACTGTATCATCCCACAGCTGTTTGGAGATAAAGGTGTCTTATCTTGCTCGCAACACGAAGAAAAACACCGCAGGCACACGCAATGGCCAACGACCCAAAGACCTTGGAGCGGGCATCTTTGAAGGGAGTTACATGTAGGCTATCAAGACAGCAAGGCGCTGACCTTCGCTCTTTTCCCTGCAATGATGTCTGTGAATCGCTATTCGCGAGTCACAACATCCGCTAATGTAACATGTCAGCACCATGTGTGGTTTGTGGAGATACGAGAGAACTTCAGCAGAACGTATCGTACAAGGTCGTGTTTGCCTGTATAATGCTCAAATGTGGTGTCAGAAGAATTCTCCATGTTTGTCTATGTGTGACAGTGGGTTAACATTAGGCCATACTGATTTCTGCATAATAGGTTTACGGATTGTAAAAGAGGTGCTATTTTTGCTCTGAAATCATCTGTAAGTGCCAATGAGGGCCCCTAGCGATCCAAATTATTTTTGTTTTCCCCGTGCTGGATGCAGGTTTTCCTGCAAAGATAACTTCAGCCGTTTGGCGGCGCCCTTTGCAGCGTGTGAAAAGTGTACGTGTGCTTTCTTAAAGTACTAGTAACCAGGGCTCGATGTACATTTTTCAGCCCATTCGCACCTTCACCCAAAACAAATTACGGTACAAAAGAAGTAATCGTTTGTCCGATTTTTTTGCAATTTAATTTACGACATATTTGGTAATTTGGTAGCTTCTTTGTAGAATTTACAGTATGGGCCCGATTGTTTTTTAAATTTCATACTTTTTTTGCAAGCGGATGAAAATTGATGCTCGCGGATGTCGTCCGTCTAACACGACTTTCCTCACTAAACCCACATATATACATATGTTAGTCTAAGAGTGGAGGGAGAGAGCCATGGGCTTTTCAAATGAGGTCACATGTTGGATTACTGCACGCCAACATGCTAATGCTGTAATCTACCCACCCGTCAACACCTGGTCACCGGGATTTAACTGATGATTACTATGACGTCAATCAAAAGCCTCTATACCTTACCAAGACGTGGTTGATTCGTAATGCAACTTCCGGATACGGGCCTTTTTCTTTACGGAGTTGTAGATGTTTCCAACCTGTGTAATACTAACCACGCTCTCTGGGGCTGTATAACAGCCGAAGGGGCGGATGGAAGTTCCTATGGCAGTTCCTAATGCATGTGGAAACAATATTATCGTTCCATCCGTTAAGTGACGTACGTACACTTCGCCCACGACACATTCGTACCACGGACAAATCTCAGTGCAGATACAGTTAACTGTAAATAAACCCATAGATTCAAACTCTACCATAGATTTATGGTTCTGTGTCCGGTATTCCTGAAACACTCAGACCACCTTTCCTGTACACCATAGTTAAAACTGTACTTATTGATGAATCAGTAATATCTGATCTTTCAATAATATCGGAAAAAGAACATCTGATGAGAGGTGTGTACAGCCGACATGCACGCGCACGATGGATAAATACCACGATTTGACAAAAACAGTCGCTCTGTCCTTGGTGCTGAAGACAATATCCATTCAGCTTCAAAATGCATCAGCTATTCAACACCCTCGTTAGCAAATATCAAAAGAATGTATGGGATTACATAGTATGGGATTACATAGTAGATCTACTGCAAACATGTAACGTTATACAAAATGACCCCCCCCCCCCAAAATGTACAGTTTTAAGGCGAACAAACGCCAGTACACATATGTTATAAACGCCAGTATACATATGTTATAAACGTTTCTTCATCATAAAAACCCCAGAGGCCATTATATACTACTAATTGCACGGCGAAAACGGGTTATATTGCCTTGGATCAGTAATTACTGTATCACGGCTCCCAACTGTCAATCATCGCTGTTGATCGTAGCCCATTCGTTGTTGTTAGGATACCGATGTTGATGAGAAAAACATTTCAGCCTCCAGGAGCTTTTCATTTCATTTCACAAGTAAGATATACTTCCACCTGAGCCGTAGTGATCACTAGCCAAATCGCTCTTCTCTTTGGACGATAACTTATATTACGTTAGCATGGCCGGATTATTTAATTCTAGTAGAAGCAGTAACAGCACTGAGGTGTTGGGGAACCTCACCTCCCGGTACGTCAGGGCGTATTTAGAGACGGGCGGTCCCCTGACGCAGGGCGAGCTGTCGGCGGTGTCGGCGGCGTACGGGGCCGTCTTCCTGGTCGGCGTCCTGGGCAACCTGCTGGTGGCCGTGGTGCTGCTGAAGGTTCCCCACATGCGCAACCCCACCAACTACCTGCTGCTGAACCTGAGCGTGGCGGACCTGCTGTTTCTACTGGTCTGCATGCCTGTGTCTCTCATAGAAACATGGGTCTCCTTTCCTTGGATACTCGGAGAGTTCGTCTGTAAGTAGTCTTAATGCTCTTTAGGTAATAAGTAAATGTCCTCATTTTAGATACTTAAGAGTAAAGAGAATTTTGAAAGTGAAGAACCATAATTGGAGATACGAAAAGTTTCTTCCAAAATGTTTTTTATTACTTTAAAAAAAAGCAGTTGTTTTTATAATCTAACCTATAAGAAATACATGTTAATAATGTAATCAAGTAAAGTGTATAAAAAATATGTGTAAGACAATAAGGAATAATATAGTACATGTAGTCATATAGTAGACATGTCGACATATAGTTGGGGTCCCTTTAGACCTCACTGGACCACATATAAACTTTCCAGTATGTACACCAATTGGCCAACCTTATCCAAAAAATGAAGGAATCAGTTCCCATTCCGCCAGATTGGTCACACAAATGAGAGTTAAAAGTCTTCATTCAGTAACAGTACTGGGTTCCAATGCCTTCTTGTGGTTATGCAGATCTAAAGTTCATTTTAAACTGCTCTGTTGTTTATGAATACGCGATAAAAGGTCTTTTATCATTTATCTCAGTAATTGGAAACTAGCTGCGCACTTACGTATCAAACGCCGTTGATATCCATTGTACCTCTCCACCAGCCTTCCGTGCGAGTAAAAAAAAAACAGTCGAAATCTGTCGACATGTCAAATAGGGAGAACAAGGATTTGACTCACCCGCGGTCATAGATGCAAGAGGTATGTGCTCTCTGGGCTAACTTCTACGTACCTTTTTCAGCGGTTGAACTCTACTAGCAAATTATTTCCCCATCATGTTTGGCCAGCCTTGTGGAGTTCGGTGGACTCTAATTCACTGCAGCGAATTATTCACAAAATAACAAGTGAACACGCCAGACTTGACCACAAAATACATTGAATATTTCACATACACCTTTGGGGTTGATTCCGAAATCTAGCTTTAAGGATGCCATGAAAGACGTGTTTTGTTGCAGAACTACAATTTTTCCAAAGACAACATGGCGCCTGAAGACAGGGTAATTTGTAACAGTCAAAAAGACAATAATTGCCAGGCTAAAGGGCTGCCATCTTGAAAGCCGCAGGTTTTTCCACCAAATAAGCTGCC